ATTGTGCTGTGAGGGAGACTGGCTGAATTCTTGCAGCAGCAAACGTGAGAAATTGTAGACAACGTCCATTTTTTCCTCAAATGTTTTGTTTAAGTTGGTGTCATGAAGAACTTTCATTCCTGCTCCCCACATTTCCATCAGTCTCGGGGTATAGTTACTGTAAGAGTCAAGTAACAGGCTGAGAGATGCAAGCTCACTGATGTTATACCTTTTCTGCAAACCTTTCAAAGTTAAGATACCTCTCCGCAGGGCCTGCAAGTACATGGAGATGTTGTTTCCCCTGGAGTCTTCTTCATCATACAGCTCAAAGATGGAGGATGCAAAGTTTAGCAGCTGCTTCAGTTCCTTACTGAAAGGAAGACTGGAGTAATTTTCCATTGTATTTAGCAGATTTTGCAGCATGTCTAGAAGTGACTGGGCAGTGAGACTGTCTGTATTACTCCAGTTCAATGACTGGAGACCTTCAGCAATGTGCCAGAAAGCGTCAAGTTCATTTTCCTGCCCTCCAGGAGGGAGCTTCTGTATTAGCTCAGACAAAGAAGAGATCAGCAGATAATGATCACTGGTATTCACCTTTGCCATGGCACCAAGAAGTTTCTCAAGGGACAGAAGGTGTTCTACAAAATTTTCAGAACTTTCAGGGGTCGACAAGAAGTCAGAAAATAATGATGACACTTTCTCATTTGTGCTGAGATAATTTTCAATGTCTTCAAGCGAGATTGCATCGAGTGCAAGCATTTTGATAACCTCCCATGCATTCTCTGCATTAAAATGAGTCCTGTTTAAAATGATCTCATTCCAAATCACTGCAGCCATAGTCAGAACATCTTGATTTTCTTTTCCATAGGGATTAGAGTAGAACAGTCCTTCATCACTCCCTTCATACAGAGGAAGTATTTCTTGAAATATTCTTTCCAAGTCCAGTGTGCTGTCTGTGGCAGAACTTGAACTGAAAAAGAGTTTTAATGAACTATACAAATCACTCAGATCTGAGAATTTAATTGCTTCAGTAGAATTACTAAAAATCTGATGCACCAATGCTTTTCCAGGAGCTACCCCAAGGTCCACGAGGATTAGAGCTTTCTTCATCATTTGCAGGAGTTCCACATATTCACCCACTTCTGTTAGGCTCCATTTGGAGGTCAGCAGACTGCCAGTGGCACGCCACAGCCGGGAGAAGTGTCCCCACTCAGGCTGGCTGGAAGCAGCTCTGCCCACCTGCAGCAGCTCGTAGAGACTGCTGTTCCTCATGGAAGCAGGTGCTGACAGGTGGGAAAGCACAGGCAGCCCATCCCAGTCTGCTGAGCTGCCAGAGGAATTCAGGGAGCTCAGCACTGTTTCAT